CCCCCCCACCTGAGTGAGGGTCACAGGACCTACATGAGTTGTTCGTGCAAGTGCCCTGCTTTGTACATAATCAAGCAAATTATTATTTTTACGAATTCAAAGAGAAGTTCTCTTCTCTTAATTCGGTGAAACAAATTTTTCAGAAAAAAATGTGGAAACTGTTCGGAAGGGTGGCTATCGCACCTCTTCATTTGAAAAAAACCGTGTCATTCCCCTTCCGCCCCTAACTCCAAAAAGGATCACCACTGATTCCCAAGTTATTTAGAAGTACGAAATTTGACATGTGAAAAACGAATGAGACGAGGATGGCCGCGGAAGGAGAGAAGAAGCAAGAGGATAGGATCCAAATTTATAGAGTAAATAAAGTAAACCTTGCGAGAAAAGTGGTCTATAATACATAATAAATCATGGCAGTGTTTCTGCGGGGTTTGACCAAAAAGGAGCGTGTTAGTAGGCGAGGCCAAAGAATGGTTAATCACGAAACCTTTATGTAGAAGTTTATATCTTTTTCTACACATGTTTAAAACGACTGAGTTTACCATGAACAGAAAGTACAATAATCCAGGTCGAATTGATGCGAATTACCTGTCGGATAGTCATTAGAATCGGTCGGCAGGTATTTATCAGCGTCAACATGCATAAGGTGATCTCTTACAGATTTCTGCAAAGAGCAACTTCAATTCTAACTCTAGTTTAAGACAACTCACGCTTCCATCGAGATTCCAGTAAATGTGGTTTGTAAGGTTCAGGACGCCAGGGTTGTGGCAAGTAGCACCATGTTCGATAACCAGTTGGTTACGGTCATTGACAGTATATGTTACCTAATTATGGGCATTTGGTACAGACTCCACGTCGATGAGGTTACAGATAACTCACGTCAATGTGCGCATCTCCGGGTAAACCATCTTGCTCTTCATCTGTCCTTATTCGGAAGGTTACAGAAGTCGGTGTTCGCCGTATCACTTCCCATTCTTTCTAGGATTTGAAAGTTTCTACTAATTCAAGAAGTACAACAGAATATTTACCAGAGCCAGTCCTTGCGGTCCACTATGCAAATTATGTGGTGGATTATTGATAGGAAGACTATACTCCTTCCCTCGAAATGTGAAGCGTCCATTTCCAATTCGATTGCAGACTCTGCCAACCGTCTTGCCAATGTACGCCGTATCTTTCTTATAACCTACATACGATTATCATACCTCATAGAGGAAAGGAAAAAGGTGTCCAAAATCAAATTATTACTTCAAGCCAGATAGCATTAGCAGTTTATCAGATGCAAGTTTTTATTGAAGATTGTAATCATCCAAAACAAAGGGCAACAGACTTCAATCAAAAAAGAAAAAACTGCCGTGTTTGACTATCCCTTGACTACTTGGCATGGTGGAATACTCGTAGTGGATTGACTGAGCGAATACTCAAGGTTGTTAACATTGCTTTATTTGCTGACATTTCAGCGCTTTCGCCTAATGCGGATTCGAATATGAGCTGGGGTCATCAAGGCACGTATAAAGTAGCTGAGCTAAAGGTC